TAAACCCAATAATTTGATGGGATGTAAATGAAAGCAGTAGCAACTAAAAAACTCAACATAAATTCAGAAATTTTCTGTTATAAATAGTAAGCCATCATGATTTTAAATGACAATAATTGCAACGAAAAATAAAGATTTTGTTATTTAAGTATCTTTATTTTTGTACTGTAAATAAACATTTTAGCATTCATTCGAGCTTCGGAGAACTCAACTGAATGACATAAAAATTCTAACAAATTTGTTGGAGATTTTATTGCTACAGCATTTCTGCAGCTGCTGCAGCAACGCATTCCCATGGAAGCTCATAAACTGCGCCGTCATTTGTTAACTGGCACTAAAACAAATTTGTCGCACCGATCAGAGTCCGCAAACTGCATGAGTCCACAGACAGAAATGTATAAATCCATAGAAAGAAATGTTTAAACAAAAATAAATAAGTAGAAAGTCTGATGAATTTGCGGACGCAAATAGATGGTGTTCCATTAGTCTTACTTATGCGCCGCATCCAGCTAAAACCTTGCCGTCTACATGCGTAATAAGTACCAGTAGATTGCCGCCTTACTTTCACCGCCCACTATCCAACACTTTTCTTTTGCCGTTGTCTGTTCTGTTCTCCTGCAAAGTTTTCAGCCTTGCAGTTCCACTACTCTCAAAATTTGGGTTCTTTGGAATTAATATTTTTTTTTTTGGAAAACTATTACTAGTTTGTGGCCGCATAAGCCGATAAAAAACTGCCGTACGGGATGGTTTGTGAGGAATGTAAAACCAAGTGCATAGCAGCATAAAATTGCGATATTTTATCAGGTTTAGATTTATAAATCTCAAAGCTAAAAGCGATGCTTGAACACAAACCTTTTATGATTTAGGTACAATTCGTGAACATGCTTTAAATCGCTCCAACAGAGATTTAATTTTGATTTGCGATTTCATTTCTGTACAAAAAATTTTAAATGTTTTCTTCTCGTCCGTATATTGCCTTGGTTTTTATTATTTAGAGAGTAATGAAAATAATTCAAGAATAAAATATAATTTGAGAATGAATAAAATAGAGAATAATTCAAATAATTTTCGAAAGGTGTACAAAAATTAAGGGAAAATGCATATTTTTCTGCCATTCAACATCAGTAATAATTTAATGCCACATTTATTACATATACATAACATATATACTTACATACTCGTATATATTCTATGTGAAAACTATCTAGAATAATTGAAAAAAAAATGGAAAAAAATTATTACCACACAAAATTTACTTTATCGCTATTAAGTAGGTCACATCAAGTGCTATATAACTATTCTATAGTTTAACCCAATCCTTCATACATATTTCATAGGCTGATAGACTATGATTGACAACTGCTTTAGCAAATTTAATAATAGCCGCAATTGACTCTAATCGTAAACACCTGCCTCATAGTGGAAATTTCAGTAGTTATTCGCTGCCATGGGAAATAAAAGTGATGCCTGATGGCTCATATATGTTAAGTTTTTTGACATAAATACTTTACAGTATACAGTAACAGTTTTTTGACATCGCAGTACACTCAAAGGTATAATTATGAAAACCAGTTGATGCAAACACATACAATAAAAAATCGCTCACAAATATTGCATACTCTCACAGTAGTCAGCATATTTTATGTTGCTTCCCAAATGTTGAATTCCGTATACTTTCTACAAAGCATTAAGATTATAGCTACTTTTAGATTAAACAGTTAAAATGTTTCTTGAACATTTATTGTCTTGCAGATAAGCTACCAGAAGTCATTGTATTGTATTTGTGTGTAACATACCTATAATACTTAACATGAACACAGCCTTTTCAAACCTTTCTTTTTTTTGGAACCTTTAAAATGGAACTCATTTTTATTTTAAATACTAAGAACATAAGGTCCTCTTCGGGGGTAGTTGTATACTGACCTTTTAGTCTATGTAGGAACCAACGCTATTCCTGTGGTATCACAATGACCCAATATTGGAGCACAAATGAACTTTCTTGGATACAATCCCATCACTTCAACCTACCTTGGATCAACATAACTTACAAGTTTTGTGTAGACAAAGCTTATACATCTTTATGTTATTAGGAATTACTTTTTTTTTCATTACAGCTGTTTTGATTTCTTTAAGTCTTAAGAAGTCTTAGATTAAGTCTTTTTCTTCTTGACATCTTTGGAACTCTGGTAATAACGGGTTAAAGTACAATAATGACAATTTTAAAAAGACTAATAAAAATCTTTTTATTTTGTGTCACAAATATTAGATTTTTAGGAAACTTGCTTTAAATAAAAAAAAATCCTTCTCATTCTTCTTTAAATTTCCCTCCTTCGTTTTTAAAAAAAGAAATGCTAATAAATAAATATTTCTTTAAAATAGTTTTTTTGTGAAGCATAATTTTAAGAAGTCTTGAAAACATTTCTCAAAGTATTTTGAAGAAGACATTAAACAATCAGAAAAGAGAACTTAATATCGAGCATTGTAAATATTCCCTTCTGTGTATTGGAGATTTCGATGGCATCTGACCCCAATTAAACAACATATCCATCTTAGAGCTTGAGACGTAGTTGTTTACTTAATATAACAAATGATATAATTCATTTACGGGGGGAGAAAAGTCTTATTTCAACAATTTGCTTTCATTACTGTACTAGTTTCCACTTTTACCCAATCATTTTAGTTTCTGAAGACAAAATATGACATCTAGAATCTACAATTTAAAATCTTTTTTTTATTTTTAATTTAATTTATATATCTGTTAAATTTTTTGTTTTTATATAAGACTTTGCAAAGGGCATACATACCTATTTAATAAAAATATTCAATTGTTATATATGCAAACTACTGCAATTTTTCTTTCCACATTGCTTAAAATTTTTCTTTCCTTCAATTGTAGAGATATCATAGGCATGTTAAATGCATGTAGAAAGCACATTTATGCTCTGTTGCACCACTTTGGTTTTTCAAACATTTAATTTTAGCAAAACTAAACTTAATTGTTTTAATCAACTTCTGTCATACGGAGTCCTGCCCATTACTAGCCTTAATTACTTTCTGTGCTAGTGAACTACGCTCGATTACATTTTTAATTTAGCTTGTCACAAGCTTATGAGATGTCCACCGTTAAACTCGTTGATGGAAGTGGTTATAAACTTTTTGTGCGCTTCATGGAGACAGTTTTTCGTTCTTAATTGATACATTGTTGTCATTGTTCAAAGAGAATCTAGAAAGAATATATCAACAAAAATTGTTCACATTCAACAATATTGCCAGTTAAGCATGAAAATGACAAGTGTAATTGGAGGGGAGTGGTTGTCAAAAGTTACGAACTACCAAAATGAGCACTGCAAAACCCTGGCATGTGATGGAAGAAGACCCTGAAGTTGACGAATGCGTAGGTGGAATTTAATTTAAATCCTTACATGCACCAAAATTTTGAATGCATATTCAATTATACTAAAATTCTATATCATTTAACTAGTTTAGTAAACTAGTCTCCGTTAACTGGAAAAAAGTGTTGTCATTCCCGAATAATTTGCTTTTGGTTGAAAGTTTTAATTTTTGAATAATTGACGTTGAAATGCGATTTAATACAAAAGATATTTACAGTTGGAAAACATAAAAATTCGCAGAATAATATCTAAATAAAATTAAATATTTGAATTAATATTCAACAACTGTTGAGTTATTAAAAAACATATTGTTTATATTGCTTTAATCTTAGTCTCCTAACGGTAGCAATATTTTTTCTTTAAATCAACTAATATTATAAGAGAGAGCTACTCAATAAATATTTAAATAAATATTTCAGTGATAACTCTGAAGATAGTAATAGTCGTTATAATAGCTGCTATAAATAAACAAATCATATTTTTTTAAAAATTCACAAATGAAATGAGTTGTTTTTAAAAAACGATCTGAAGTTCTCCAAAAAAAAAAAAAAAACAGAAAACAAATACATATAAAAAATTAAATATGGACCTAATTGTCCAGCCATGAAATTGTATATTAAGTATTATTATATTATATGTATATTATGTATATTAGTAATATATTAAAGTTACTATGTTATTAGTTATTTTTTCTTTGATGTAGTCCCTTTTTAATATTAAATTTTTTATTATTATTACAGGTTCCAATAAAAATTATATACGTAACTAAAAGTAACTATTTATAAAGTTTGATATATATATATATATACACATTAGTCCCCCCTAAAACGCGGTAGATTGGTTCCGCGTTATAGGAAAACGCGCTATAGGGGTATTCTTGTATACCTCGAATGCATACGAGCAAAAGTATACGAAGCTAAATATGAACTGTAAAAATCCCCGCATTATATGGGGGAATCCACCGTGTTATACTGGAGTTACAAATCGCGTTATATGAAAACGCGTTATAAGGGCACCGCGATATAAGGGAGCTTACTACATATATACAGTGTTAAGCGATTCAAATGTTATCTATTCAAGCGCCCATATCTCTTTCGTATGAAATTATTTTTTATTGATTTAAATTACCCTTCACCCTTAACCCCTTCATTATTTTTTACGGAATGTAAATTATTAATTTTGAATTTATTATTTTTTTACTAAGTGAATTGGTAAAAATTACAAACACTAGTATTGAATACTTTCAACATATATAAAAAACAAATTGTAAATTGCTAAATAAAACAATAACTTATAATATGAATTTGTGTATGTTCCTGAGGTTTTTTCCGTGTATGGTCTATAACTCTTTAATATTAAATCACACCTCGTTATTTACCGTTTATTTAGTAAATTAGATAACATCAAATAAATCAAAAAGTGCTATAAAAGGCCACTTATACTTCTGACTACATATACATTTTTTAATAATTTGTTAATTAATTAATTAACAATAATTAATTATTGTTTTTACTTGTTTATTCTAAACAAATGAAATCAAATTAATGTATACGAATTTTATGTATTTTATTTTTCCCACATTAATTGAATATTTTTTTTTTCGTTTAGGTTATTTTTCATTCATCAATGAAAAGGGGTTACCAACTGCTACTTTGTATACATCCCTTGTACAGTTGGTACGTGAACGTGTCTACAAATTTATATCGGTGGATAACATGACTTCATTTACCGAATCCCAACCAAACGCAAACAGTTCTCCAACTGAGGGCTGTCTACCATTATATTCGCCACAGTCAAATAATCGGCCACAGTATGTTCGCTCTACAGCTCGTGGAGGCCAAGTGTTTCGTTTGCTAGCAGTATTTGAGGACGGCAAACAGGATCATAATGCTTTCACTAATAACAACAACTTAAAGTTAAATACAAGCCATGGACGTGAAAAAGAAAAAGGACGTTATGCGCAACTGTTAAATGAAAATCGACAGATTTTATATGTTTCTCTATCAACCAAAGGAAAGTTTTATGAAATTGAACCGGGCATTCCCCAGATATTGCAAAAACTGAGCGGCGTAAATAATAATGATCCGAATAAGAAGATTAATCCTGATTGTGTGCATAAAATCACGACTTTGATAACTCCCACTAAAGAGTTGCCAATAACATTACGTTACATAGCTGGTCCTCAATGTGGCCATATTACAATTCCTGACACAATATGTATAACCAAAATCACAACTGAAAATGTGGTTATTGTTTGCCCCATCGATGATGTTGAAGTACAGAGTCCACTGCATTTACGTAAATTACATTTAACCAAAGAAATGTACCTATTAAAGGATACTTTGGGCTTCGAGAATGAAAAGCGCATGTTGGCTAATACCAATGTGCAAAACATACTGAAATATTGTCAGTTCAACTGCGATCAATTTTTGAAAATAGTGGAAATTGAAATACTTAATCGTTCTGAACGTTCGGGTTCTAAAAGTCGTGTCGAAGGCTTGAAAATTCTTAAGCCGCTACATTTGCCAAAGCTGTTGCGCCGAGAAAAAACAACTATTCTGGCTCATGAAAAGGAAGATTCAATAATATTTCTTAGTAAGAATGATTTAGCTAATATGGAAGCTAAAGATACTGTAACAAATACTAAAACACAACGGATAACTACTGTTGAGGGCGCTTCAAGCAGCAATCGCATCTCTGAAAAGATGAAAGTTTTTCAATCAACTAAAAAGAAGTGGTTCCGAAAACAGGATAAGCATACTTCAACAAATAACTTTAATGATTCTACCGCGCAAACTAAGAGCTTAAGCATGGAACGATATTCTGATATGTCTAAATTGCTACAGGAACGTTTTAGCGATAAAACAAACACTATTGATCACGACAATATGTCAGAACACAGTTGCAACTCTGAACCTGGTGGCTCCGACACTGAAACTACTACACTAGCTACAATTGAGGAAAAACTTAAGAAATTTGGTGATATATCGCTAAAGTCCACAGTTGAAGTCAGCACACTGCAAAAATCTATGTCTTTGCAAGATATAGAATTAATATCTGGCGTTGGTGGTACTCGCAAACCAGATTTGTTATCCACACTTGTCACAACTGACACAATATCTGAAGCTGGTACAGATCTAGAAGATTTAGAAAATGCTAAGGATACTACACACCAAACATCGTTTATAACAGAAAAACTCTATAATGAATTTCATGTTAAGACACGTCAATACAGTAAATCTTCTTCAAGTCTCCATCAATTACTTAATTTCTCTTTACCACAGAAAATGCAAATGAACGACAAAGATAAGCGCGCGAGCAAAATGACCACAGGAAACAATGCCCCGGGTAATAGTGCTGCTATTGGAAAATTGGATAAACGTTTTGATTTTAATGTAGGTGAACCGGTCACAGGTCGTCGAGCTGCTGGGGGACTCACTTTACTTACTGTTGGTAATAATGGCAGCGCTTACAATAGCCAAAACACTTCACTTATATCACCACTAACACCAATGAGCATGCTGGAAGACGAATTGCCATATTCAAATGTACGCGATTCGCTTGTACTGTCAAGTGATGAATCTCCATTACATCATCAACGGGTGAACATTTGTCGCGATCTTAATTTAGTCGATTATACAAAAGAAAATATATATGCAGAAATCTGTCACGATCTTAACACTATGAGTAATACTCGCCCTTCGCATGTGCGTGAAAATTATTCAGCTGGTACTCATTCTACACGAATTTCTGATGACTATGGCGATTACGCCTCACTTTCTTATCCTACACCCAGACCAAAACAACGCACTAGTGACAGTGGCAAATCCATAATTGGAAATGCCATAAGCCGTGTGCATGTTAATTGCAGTGCAAGTCCGGTAAGCTACCATACCGTTTACTTTGGTGACGAACCACTTGGAGAAAATTACACACACGATCGGAATACACGGGCTACTGGCAGAACTCGGGAATCACGACACTCGCGTAACTCACGTGACTCGCAGCCCCCTTCACGTGATCGTACTCATATTACGACCGTTGAATTAGAAGGTGCTACACAGAGTGCTAGCTCCGATATTGAGGGATTCGACAATATTTACAATACGCTCAAATGATGTTTAATGTGATTTAGTTGGAAATTGGGGGCATCTGTTGCGGGTGGTGGTAATAATAACAACAAAACTGACACAAATAGGCAGTATGGCGGTAGCAACGGTGGAGGCAAAGGTTTATTTTGAAATATTTTTTAAAATCATATAAATGAGTTATATTAATATGATTAAATTTTAATTAAATTTAACCTAAACTTATTTTCTTAAAGGTTAAGAAGAGCAGTATTTAATATATATGATATCGGAAAACAACCCGAATTCCTGTTGAAAGATATAAATGAAATATATAAATATATAAGGACGAAAATATTGTAATCTTGAAAAATGTTACAATTTTGAAGTATATAACGCTTTTGGTGTCATGTTCTAATAGTTTTATATAATGATTATATTTAAAAGTAGTATAAGAATAGTTTAAAAATTATTACTCAAAATAATACTGATTAAACTTTTCACATTATTTATTTAAATTTATTTAATTCTTTACGAATTTTTTTCTAAGTAATTACAAATAACCTTATAAAATCTGATATATTTAAATATATACTTTCGATTTATTTTGTTCATTTGGAAAAACTTTTTTTTTCTGAAAATCTAATATAACGTTTGAAATATAATAAATCAATAGAGATATGACTAATGTAATTCCATGTATTATAAAAATTTAATTTACACATTAAAAAATATGCACCGGTGCATATTTACGGAAAAAAACGCGCGGCGCCGTAAATCAACAGCCTTTGTGGTGGTGAGATAAATGAGATAAATTAGAACATATTGCATAGCGGCTCCGCTATATACAGTGCATCCAACTTTGCCGCATTTGCGGCGCTGCGCTTTTTTGCCGTAAGTAGGCGCCTTTATTATAGGTCAACTTTGTATTTCTTAAACGCAATGTTATATCTTTAAGTTTATTTATTATCACAAAAGATACAAATAATTTGTCATATAAGTATTTTGTTATCTATTTCAAATTAATTAATTAAGCAATTTGAAATGCTCTAAAGCGGTGCTTTTCATTTATTAACGTACTTAAATCTCCATTCTCTTGAAATGCACTATAGCAGTGTTTCTTAACCCTAAACGTACTTAGATTTCCTTTCTGTTAGAATGCACTTTAACAGCGCAAAAAAATATTTAATGTGTTTTATAAAAACCTGTACTAATATTTGCTTTAATTAAATAATGTAAAAATATGCTCTAAAAAGATATATGTATATGTATGTATATAATAATTTAAGGATCGGTGTTTCACTACGTCGTTATTATCGCCAGTCTTTTAAATATTATATTTTAAACTTTAATGAGCTTATTTTCTTAGGCAAATATAAGTACGGGTGATTCTAAAATAAATTGAATATATTTGCGAACCGCAAAAACGCTGCTTTATATAATGAAATGGCAGAAAGTAATTACTTACTAATAGGTTTATACAAAAATCATCAAATTTTATTTTCGAGATACTAAAAAATCTCAATTCGTCATTTTTAAAAATTATGAACTTATATTAATGTGCAATAGAATTTATTTTTTATATAGTAAATTTTCTAAAATACTTATATCATATTTATTTAATTAATAATTATATTAACATCTTTAATGTTTTTGTTTTCAAATAAAAGTAGAACTTCTGTTAAGTCCCTCTTATTCTCTTGATAAAGTCTTAAATACTGAAAAACGTTCACAAAATATATTTAATAATAAAATTTTTGAAATAATGAAATTAATAGATTGACATATACAAAATTATAAAGAATTTCCGATCACCAGACAGACAGTATGATTTGACAAGGATTTTATTAACTTCTCAGTTTGGAGCAATTTTCTTTACTACTGCTATATATACTGATATAACTTCTAGCTTAATATATTAGGTTTTGAAGTTGCAATCTTTTTACGTCAATAACACGCACAAAACCATATGCCATCTAGCGGCAATCAACATTTGTAGTTTTTACATTGGTGATATTCAGATGTGCATCTGTATTTTGGTAATCGGTAAAGAGATAAAATGACAGACGTTATTAAATAGAATTGCCAAAGCAGTTGATATTGTTTGTGCTTGTTTTGTTTTACATTAAATTAAAAAATTAGACAGAAAAGTTAAATTAAAATCAAGCAAAAATTATTTTTTATTTATTTTTTTAATCTTGCTAATATTTTTTTGTATTTATTATGTTTTCAAGCACTTCAAATTCCATAAAAAAAATTTAATTTTGTACAGCATTTTATAATAATAAAAGTCAGTTAATGTTTCATAGTATATATATATATATACCCCTTATGCTTTGGTAACTAGTTAAATTGATAACGTGTTAATTTTACAAAACCCCAAATATATCTATATATAACATTACCGAATTATCGATTTCTCGAGCATGTCTTAATGCTCCTATTGATGACACAAATAACTATTAATAAGTTGACGCGGAGGATGGCCACTTGTTTTTTTTTTTTTTTTTTTTTTTTTTTTTTTTTTTTTTTTTTTTTTTTTTTTTTTTTGTATAAACATGCAAATTTATGGCACAATATCTTAAGAACTAAGCTATATTCTTGTATATCGTGTTGAAAAAAAATTGCCCATAGTACTGAAATTTATTAAAATCCGCTGACAAATTGTAGTATCCGGGAAACCGAAATTGTGTTTAATTTATATAGTAACAAATTATTTTATGTATGTATTTATATATATTAATAAATTATTTTAATTTTAAAACAGTACATGAACAAGACGCATATACATATGACATATTTATGTATTTAATAAATGCATATAATGGTAAATGTTATATATAATAATAATGTAGCTTCAAATTGTAACATTTGTCAATAATATAATAATTATACTAAGAACATGTTTAAATATTTAAATCAAAATATAAAATGTACCTTTAAAAAATTTATAATATATATGTATTTGTATATAGTTAATGAAATATTACAAAAGAACCACTTCTAGATCTGCTCTCCATAGTAACTATATGTGTTTAGTGTTAAATAGTTTTTGGCCAAAGCCAAAAGTCGTTGTCAAATGATAATGTAACTAATGGTTTAGTTAAAATTTTGTTAAGAATTTTAAAGTTGTTTTTATTTTCGTAGTGCTATAAATAAAATGCTTTCTTCTAAAACAAAAAATCTTCATTCGTATCTCTGTAAAAATTGAATGTTCTACACAAGAGAATTGTGCAACAATCATGCAACTTTCCTTAAAAAATTGACAACATTTATTGAAAAATAAAATAAAACTTTGTGTCTAATTAAAAAAAAAAACAAAAGTTATATATAAGTTAAAATTTTAATGCTTGATAAATTTACTATAACCAATCAGTTACTTATTGTACTCCATGAACACATAACCAACCACTCGTAATAGCTAATAACCGCCACCAATTTTGAAAACGAAACCTACTTAATTAAATGAAATAAATATAACTATTATTGTACATTGTAGTATCTGAAAAATAGCATTAAGTAAAAGAAAACCAACATTTATGAGCTACTCTAATATATTTTTAAACTATTTATTATGAAGAGAAGTATTTAATGAATATTTTTATAATTAAAAAATATCACATAAGAAAACTAATTCAAAAATTTTGAACTTTCTTGTACAAAAAATATATATATAATATAATATAATATGTATAAGATATATATTATAAATGAATTTGTATATGAGAGTACATATATAAATATCTGTATATGTATCTCTGTATGTATATGTATATATATATATATATATATACGTAACTGCAAACTCGCTATTTTATTATTCGTAAAAAAAAGAAATATTTAAAATATATTGTAAATCTATACTTCCAAATCTGACGGATTTTTCTGAATATATTCCCTCATTCTGTCACTCTAGAGTGGGTGCCTTACGGTACCACCAGTTAAAATATTCTTCCTGAAAGCAAATGCAAAAATATTAGAAATTCAGTATTCGGTGTTTCAAATGTTTCTTATTCTATCAGTGCCTGTTTTTAGTCCAGCAAGCGTAGCATAATGCTGGTCACTTATCGTGAGATTTATTAGTCCAAGAGAGTTAGTATTCTTCTACATATTCAATTTAATAATTCTTCTAATTGTTATAAATCTTCTACTCTTAAAAATAACATGCTCTGTGTTTTCTATTTTGTCAGAACTCGTAACAAATTCGACAATAAGGAATCGCGATAAACTCTGGCTGAGGTAATAATCCATTTAAAACTTTTTTTTCTCTCGAGTCATAACGTTTAATATTTCAGAACTGTTCATCTATCTGCCGTTTGTAAAGGTATCTGATCTCTGTGCTATTGTTTCGTTAATCAATTGCATTTTTCTAAACGGCAACCTACCGTCTATGTTATTTCTAGTATGCTCAGCTTTGTTGACAACAGTAATAATTGACTTCGGAACAGTATTTACGTTAGTTTGTCAGGGATGTAAATTGGCTACATAAGAGCATTGTCATTAACTTTATCATTAGAAACAATTTGGAATACCCAGCACATTATCAGTAACATAAACCTATGTCACTTCCTTTATATATATGTCACTTCTATTAATATCTAACATTCACCCGAATCGAAGTATACGAGAAATTTTATGCCTTGACATATGTCAATATATACCCAATGTTAAGTATAGGTCTTGCTACAGCTACGCATACTTTTGCAATTTTTTTTCTTGTACACTTGAGGTACACCCTGAAGTTTCATTTATAATCTTATAATATAATTCAGATCACGACTTTCGAAATTTTTTGCCGATAATCACTACTGTTACTATTTTATGTTATATTAAATATAGTTCACATTTTAATAAAAAAATTCTCTACTTGTTGGATTGTATTATTACAGTTTGTTACACCTTTGACCGTATTTCAGTTATTGCCACTAAGATTATATCATCAGTACTGCCAACTAACTATACTGCGTTGGCTTGTATATTCGCATTATATAGAATGCTCGACAATAATGTGTTTATTACTAATCGTATACTCTCCGTTATCAGATGTCACTTAGCACTGTTTTTAGTGGTATGTTTGAATATTCTTTTTACAAAGTGCTCTTGTTAATGTTTAATATATTACCAATGTTTTCAGGCCTGCAAAGCTTTGATATATGTAGTTGCATATTATCAAATTTAATGTGTTTTTACATCTAATATCAGTGCACAGTTCATTTTATCCTATACATTCATTTTGCTCGAAAGCTATATTTTTCTGTGTGTCTGTTATCACTTAAATTTAGTTGTGCTTTTAGATCTTTGATATTCTTTGACAATAGCGTATATCTGGGCTGTGTCAAACTTTTG